AGGACAGTAGGACAGAGGGACAGTAGGACAGAAGGACAGTAGGACAGAGGGACAAAAGGACAGTAGGACAGAGGGACAGTAGGACAGTAGGACAGAGGGACAGTAGGACAGAAGGACAGTAGGACAGAGGGACAATAGGACAGTAGGACAGAGGGACAGTAGGACAGTAGGACAGAGGGACAGTAGGACAGTAGGACAGAGGGACAGTAGGACAGAGGGACAGAGGGACAGTAGGACACAGGGACAAAAGGACAGTAGGACAAAGGGACAGTAGGACACCCACCCAGCGGGGGCTGCAGCATGTCTCCGCTCCTTTCACAGCTTCCTATTGGCTGGATGTCGGCGGCGTCCACGAGGCGCCAGAAGTCGTTGGTGTTGTCGCTGCCGTCTAGACGCAGGCGCAGGCGCGTCCCCATCATGCCCATCACCGTGGCGATGCACACAGAGTTGGAGTTGCGAGGGTCTCGGGCCTCCAGCTTCATGCCTGACTTAAACTCGTTGGGGGGCGGGACTCTGGACTATGGGGGGACACGGAGACACCGTCAGTCGTCCAGATGTGGGGTGGTGCTGTCTTGGGTTGTCTCGGGGTGTTACCTGTCTGAAGCAGGCAGGTGAGGCTGCCGAGGACGAGGTTTCCCTCAGGTACTCCTCCCAGCTGAACGGTTCTGTCAGCAGAAACAAGACGGCCATTTATATTCAGAACCGGGTCAACGCATTCAAGATGGCCGCCACGACAAACACAACAAAAACCTTCAAACTCAAGTTAGACGAGTGTATTGAGCTAAACTCTGGTGTGGTAGTAGCTGAGAGTCCTTCAGAACTCCCTCTCGTTTAACCCTTTAAATGTTTAACCCTTTAAATGTTTAACCCTTTAAATATTTAACGCTTTAAATATTTAACCCTTTAAATATTTAACCCTTTAAATGTTTAACCCTTTAAATATTTAACCCTTTAAATATTTAAACCTTTAAATGTTTAACCCTTTAAATTTTTAACCCTTTAAATTTTTAACCCTTTAAATATTTAACGCTTTAAATATTTAATCCTTTAAATGTTTAACCCTTTAAATGTTTAACCCTTTAAATGTTTAACCCTTTAAATATTTAACCCTTTAAATATTTAACCCTTTAAATGTTTAACCCTTTAAATATTTAACCCTTTAAATATTTAACTCTTTAAATATTTAACGCTTTAAATATTTAACGCTTTAAATATTTAACCCTTTAAATGTTTAACCCTTTAAATATTTAACCCTTTGAATATTTAACCCTTTAAGTATTTAACCCTTTAAATTTTCAACCCTTTAAATATTTAACCCTTTAAATGTTTAACCCTTNGCTAACTTTAACCTGCATGCTATATAAAATTCTGCAGCTAAAGACTAACTTTTAGCTGCATGCTATACAAAATTCTCCAGCTAAAGGCAATTTTTAGCTACATGCTATACAAAAAGGCTGTAGCTAAAAGCTAACTTTTAGCTGCATACTATACAAAATGCAGCAGCTGAAGGCTAACTTTTATCTGGATGCTATATAAAATGATGCAGCTAAAGGCTAACTTTTAGCGGTATGCTATACAAAATGTTGCAGCTAAAGGCTAACTTTTAGCTGCATGCTAAATGCAATGCTGCAGCTAAAGGCAACCTTTTAGCTGCACACTATAAAGAAGGCTGCAGCTAAATGCTAATTACATGTGTACAACAGACAAACTCTAAAGTCTAGCTTTTAGCTGCACATGTATTCAACAGACTGGAGCTAAAGGCTAGCATTAGCTGCAAGTGTCTGCAAACGGTTTCAGCTAAAGGCTACATTTTAGATGAATGTGTGTACAACAGGTTGTAGCTAAAGGCTAGCTCTTAGCTGAATGTGTGTAAAACAGGTTGTAGCTAAAGGCTAGTTCTTAGCTGAATGTGTGTACAACAGGTTGTAGCTAATGACTAGCTCTTAGCTGAAAGGACGGAGGGTTAAAAACAAACCGTTGGATTTGTCGAGGGCAGAACCTGCTGAGATGCTGCTCCGTCTCTCCTTCTTCTCCTCTTTTGGATCTAAAACCGGACAAGAACCAGAACTCAGCTGAGTTTTGTTTACAGACGGATTTAAAACCTAAAAAACTGAAGAGGTTTACCTCTCTGAGGTGTTCGACCCATGATCCCCGTCACACAAGTCAGGACCTGAAGAGACTCTGAGAGACACAAAGACCCAAACAGAACCTGAAGAGACTCAAAGACCCAAACAGAACCTGAAGAGACTCTGAGAGACACAAAGACCCAAACAGGACCTGAAGAGACTCAAAGACCCAAACAGAACCTGAAGAGACTCTGAGAGACACAAAGACCCAGACAGAACCTGAAGAGACTCTGAGAGACACAAAGACCCAAACAGAACCTGAAGAGACTCTGAGAGACACAAAGACCCAAACAGAACCTGAAGAGACTCAAAGACCC